TTGTGGGAATCAAGCTGTTAATGTGTGTGGAATTTATTACAAGATAGAGATATACAAAATTTGTGAAAAAATGTTTTCAAGCATAAATATGTGCGACCGCAATACGGCCACAAAATGACACTAATACAATTAATATATTTTAATACTCATTTTTTTGTTTTTCTTTTATACAAAACTACACATGGGAAGTTATCATTTAATATCCCACTTATCACAGCTGTACAAATAATACTCAGGCCAATCATGTGTTGCCTTGGTACAACTTATGTTAAATTTGAAAAGTCAGTGTCTATCTTTAATATCTGTCTCTAAGTCATTTCATGAAACAAACATTAGTCACTGCTGTAGTAGGACAGTATACCTGACTTGGATATACTCAAATGAAACAACTTAAAAAACAACAACAACTGAGCACCAATTCATATCATGCCCTGGAATCAGCTACTCACTGCAGGGCTTGAGCATGGGTCCTGCACCATTGAGTTATGGCTTACATATATCTATCATTCTCCCAGCTACTACTATTAAGGCTACTAGAGTTTAGGAAAATCTTAGCAGCATCACATTGAAGTCGAACACAAATCAGCTCTCACAGTAACGTTCTCCTTGACTTCAATGATGGAATAAACTCATTCTTGATAAGTAACACCGTACACTCTGGATAAACAAAACTCAATTAATCCACTACATTCAACCATGGAGTACATCCCTTTTGGGGGATTTGTATATACTGAAAGATAGAATAATGTTACAGTACTGATTGCAATGTAATGAAGGTAAGGGGGAGTACATTGTATAAGGGAAAGGTGTGTCATCCTGATAAGAGTATCCCTGTCTAATTCCCTGCTTCTCTTTTCCGACCACCCCCATTTTTGGCTCCCGACTAAAGAACAAACAGCATTACTTAAATCCAATGACCCTGTCTGGAATGCATAACTGAACAAAAAATATGAAATAAAATAAAAAAGCAAATAATCAATTCCAGGATATCTTCATGAACAACTACATGTGTTGAGCTATCGTAGTACATAACCACATTACTGACTAGGCAATTGGGACGTGTTACATCTTGAACTCCAGACATTTCTGGCTAGGCCTACGAGTTCTTTGTGTTCATTGGGTAGACTCTGTGGTCTTGTAACCTGGGGTTACTTCTATGTACACATAGAATGAATCATCAACATGAATCTCAACTAATGCAATCTCAGAAGCTACAAGGTCACTTTCTTTCCTCACATTGGCATGAAGTCTGCTTTATGTATTACAACTGTTACAGCCCAAATGTTGTTAAAGGCAAAAAGGATCATTTGCTGTTCATGCATTTTGTCCGTTTTCATTAATAACACCACTTAAAATCCAAAGAAGAACGTTCGAAATCTAACCTGTTGAAATTTCAGCTCAGTGGATATTACACTTTTTGAGAAAACAGTGAAAAACAATGCACAACCTTTTGATCATGAAACACAATTTTGCTATAGCACTCTTTTATTTCCAATAATCTGTCAATTGATTGATCCTTGAAATCACCTAAATATCTTGATTTCTTTTAAATGACTCCAAGCCAGACAGAATCATTTCACGTGGTGTTTAGAACCAGTGTTTAGAATCTTTGATCCAAGTAAGATTTTTGAAAATCATTTGATAGGCTACTTTTGGGATAAATGCAAATGATCCTATATGCCTTTAAGCTGATGGCACAAAAATAATTAACATCAAAATCGTCAACATTGATATTTTTGGTCTCATTATAAAACCATAAACTCATTCGCAATAACAAAAAAAGACACTAACAAACGTTGGTACATTTATATTTGACCATCTACGTGGGTGTGACATGTTATTTTCAGTTTGATGATGTCATCAGTCAAAAAAAAAGGAAGGGAGGACACTTGTTAAAATAGTAAAAATAACGCATGGAAATTAAGTGTATGTAATAATAACACCCAACTTCCGGTTTGATGACGTCACAGTATTTGCAAGAAAAAGGTAAATATTAAGTGTAACAGATGTCATTTTTTGGGCAAAAAACAAAGTCATGAGACAGGGATCATAATGATGGATTTAAATTTAAAATAAAATGATCATTGTTGATTCCTCTCTACAGTAACTTCCGGTCTGATGACGTCATGATTATGAAACCTTGTAAATTAATTTGTGGTTGCGCACGGGATATATAGGGGCAATTTCATAAAAAAAATATTGAGGGTTTTAACATTTCAAAAGATTAACTGTTTTTGATATGCCGCTAGAGGGCGCCTTTTCGTGGGATGATGTCAAAGTTATGTTTTGTGTTTGGCATTCCTCACTTAACACTTCCATTATGTATTTGTCTGTAGTAAAATGCTTCCGTTTTAGAGTTAAATTCAATTTCGATTGCAGTTCCGGTAACACCGGAAGTAAAGGTCAAGCAGTTTTGTGCCCGGGAATAGGAAATGTTGCTCAAGGCACCGTCTACAACCTCACGAAAAAATGAACACGATACTCTATAAAGTTCAAGAGATATAGCTCAAACTATTTTTTCAAATCGTGCTATCAAATCGCTTGTAATTTGATACCTGATGACGTCATAATGACGTAACAAAATGTATAATATCTTCGTAACATGGTACAAGTTCACACTAGGTTTTATGATAATCCCGTAAACCGTTGGGAAGAAATTTTGCTCTGTTCTCATTTCAGGCCAATTTCTTCATTTTGATTTCACCAAACTTTGACCTTCCGGTAGACCTGGAAGTAAAGCTCAAGCAACTTCACGTACACAACAAAAAATGTTTATCAATTAATGGTCTATCTGATTACAGAATACAAACATCATTGATTACCTTGTTTAAGAGTTATAGGTGACAGTAATTGGTCATTTTTCCAGCTAAAATCGCATGTAATTTGACACCCAATGACGTCATCATGACGTCAGAGTAATATGCACCACTAGGGATGAGGGTAGATATATGTTGGAAGTTACAAGTTCATACCATATACCGTTTAGGAGAAAACCCGCGGAAACTTATTGTCCGGAAAAGAAAGAAAGAAAGAAGATTAATCGCAACAACTCCAAAGAGTGGTCGGGTTGTGCCCGACCACTCAAATTAAAAAAGAAAGAATGAGAACCATTTAATTAAAAAGGGACTCCCTAAATCTGCTGTCCAGCAGGCTGTACTTGGATTAGTCTGGCTCACTGATACAATTAATCGTTTAACCAGGAAGACATGACTTTGAATTTTCTATCAAACTTTTTTATGTCCATAATTAGCAATTGATGAAATGAGCTCAATTCTGAACAAAACACTTTTTTTGGCCAGTACTCTTCATTTTGGTGCTGATACGATTCTAGTGAGGATGGCTTTTCTTTTGCTTTCTCTGATGATGTTTCCCTGTGTTTCCTCACACTAGGGCTAATAGGACTATAACCATACTGTGCTATAACCAAGCCTGGTAATCATGTGTGGGTAAACATTTATTTGTTACTGTCAGGTGATTTCTTGAAAACCAAAAAAAAGAAAGAAAAGATCTTGAACCAACATGCAGCAAACTCAGGTTTAAACTGGTCATGCAAATCATCCCGGCTCATTTCTCAGCAGAAATATGAGATAAAGCTAGAGGTTCGCGTTTGTTCAGTTACAAACGCAGAATGGTCGGGCAGACAACTATTTCATTAGACATTGTCCAGTTAAGTTATGAATATGTTTATGTCAGAACAAAGGATCAAAAACTTTAACATTTCCAGTACAACCAATTATTTTGTAAAAAAAAAATGCATCTTGTACAAGGGCGGATCCAGGGGGGGGGCCAAAGGGGGCCATGGCCCCCCCCCAAAACGAAACCAATTTTTTTTTTTTTTAATGTGACATCGCAATAAAGGCAGACAATGAGCACACCATCATCTTTTCCTCAAAAATCATTGGTTAAAGTGGTCAGAAATTGCTTCAGATCGCACCACAGAGCATCTAGAATCCAAAAAAATTTCGGGGCCCTTAAGCGGGCCCCGAACCCCACGCCGTAATTTTTTTGACCCACTTTTTTGGGGGACCAAAATTTTTTTTATTTGTTTTATGTGACATCGCAATAAAGGCAGGCAATGAGCACACCACCATCTTTTCCTCAAAAAACATTGGTAAAGTGGTCAGAAATTGCCTCAGATCGCACCACAGAGCATCTAGAATCCAAAAAATTTTCGGGGCCCTTAAGCGGGCCCCGAACCCCACGCCGTAATTTTTTTGACCCACTTTTTGGGGTACCAAAATTTTTTTTGGCCCCCCCCAAAATTGTGTCCTGGATCCGCCCTTGATCTTGTAGGGTATAATAAATTTTCAGTATGCATTTTAGGTACATGTACAAGTTATTTCCGGTTTGATGACATCATCAGTCAAAAAAGGGAAGGGAATACTGAGTTAGTTCAAGGAGGATACCTGTTTATCATTAAAGCCCGAGTCCATCATTTGCAGCTATCCAAAAAAGTAACTGGCGCAGTTATTGTTGAAAAACATACTAGTTGAAAGATAGTAAGGGGACTAAACTCCCTGTGAAATTATCCTTTCTGGCAAGCTCTCATTTTGAAGAAATCAACAAATGAAGGCATTTCCAACGTTGCTTCTTAAGAAGCACTGTAGGAAAATTTAAATTACTTGTTCGTTTTGTTATTCGGCGCAGCGCGCACAAGCATTGGAACGACGCACAGGCGCGCGCGGTTGCTATAATTCGTTGGATCAGTGCGCGACATCGCGTAAAGCTGCAATTCAAAACAATTCGAAACATGATTTAGCAACTTTTGATTTCAAATTGAGATCCTAGAATGCTGTTTTTCTCGGAATATGAAGCTGAAGCTGAGCTGAAACTTCATCAAGTAAGTTGTTCAGTATCCTTCATTAGATTTTGAACATTTTTGTTGCTTCAAACGAACAAAATGCACTAATTACAAATGATGGACTATAGCTTTAAGTAAAATAATGCATGGAAATATGGAAATTATAAGTGTATGTAATAATAACACCCAACTTCCGGTTTAATGACGTCACAGTATTTGGAAGCAAAACGCCAACATTAAGTGTAACAGATGTCATTTTTTGGGCTAGGAACGAAGTCATGAGACAGGGATCATTTGATGGATTTGAATTAAAAACAAACTGATCATTGTTAAATTCTCCCTATGTCTGATGACGTCATTGCTATGAAACCTTGCAAATTCAGTTGTGGTTGCTCATGGAATTTATAGAGGCAATTTGGTACAATTTTGATTGAGGTTTTAACATTTGAAAAGGTTAAACTCTTTTTGATGTGCCGCTAGAGGGCCCCCTTTCGGGGATTACGTCAAAATTATGTTTTTTGTGTTAGCAGCATTCCTCACTTAACACTTCCATAATGTATTTGTCTGTAGTAAAATGCTTACGTTTTCGAGTTAGATTGAATTTCTATTGTACTTTTGGTGAGACCAGAAGTGAAGGTCAAGCGGTTTTGCACCCGGGAATAAGCAGGGCGGATCCAAGGGGGAGGGGGCCCCAACAGGGGCCATTGTCCCCTCCCTCCCCCCCCCCCCCAAAATGAACCCTATTTTTTTTTTAAGCGACGTCGCAATAAATGATTGATACTTTTTTTCAAGAGTTTTAGGTGAAAGAAGACAGTCATTTTTTTCAACGAAAATCGCTTGTAATTTGACAGCCAATGACGCCATCTATGCACCAATCGGGATGAGGGTCGATATATGTTGAAAGTTACAAGTTCATATCATATACCATTTAGCAGAAAACCGCGGAGAGTTATTGTCCAGAAAAAAGAAAAAGAAACAAAGAAGATTTATCAGAACAATTCCAAACAGTGGTCGGGTTGTGCCCGACCACTGAATGATCACTACATGACAGGGATTACAGTCGACTCTCGTTAGTACTAACACTGTTAATACACATTCTGGTTATAACAAACATAAAGCCTTGGTCCCGACTGTGCATTTATGTGCACAATGACAGGGACTGATGTTCCTCTTAATACAAAATTATGTATTAACAATTTGGCTGGGTCCGAATGAGTTTGTATCAACGAGAGGCGACTGTAAATAAGCTACATTCTGCAATTATATTGGGCCTCAATTCAATTATATATATATTAATATTACTAAAGTGCTCTTTTTACTGCTCGAGTCAACATTATGATCACTTTCATGCAGGAGCCAGAATGAGTATCCATGACTTTTTACATTAGACAGAGTACTTCCAAATGAGCTTGGTTGAATTATTAGAGTGCCTACAAGCAATATGACTCCATGTCAAAGTAGTAGTAGGAGCTCGAAGCATCTTGGTGGTCCTTATGAACTAGATATCTCATACAAGGCATCAGCTATCAGTGCTTTGACTGAGTCTGTCACCATAGGTGACATAGAAAGGTTCAACAGTCTGTGCTGGTGTTGAAGAAATAATGCTTTATTGTCAGCTACCTTGGCCAATGCTGCCAGGAGGATTGCTGTTCTGCGCATCATATCTGGGCTTGCTGGCTGTATGTCGGGGTTCTGACTTAGCTGCTTGGCATTACTTCCACTCTCCAGAGACTTGGCATACTCCGAGTCTTCAAGGTAACACAGCAAGAAGGAAATGCTAGAGTTCTGAGATGCAATAGCCCGACTGACTGTAGAATCACCCTGGGCAATGCTTGATAGAAGTACTATTGCAAATTCCCGCATAACAGGCTCCTTACGGTCACTGAGGTATTGCGTCAAGGTGGCAAAAAGCTGCTCTAAACGATGGAATGGAGGAGTGGCCAAGATCATATCCACGTTGTTTTCCTGTATGCTTAGCTTTGACAGGGCCTCAATGGCAATGCGTTTAGGTGTGAGGGGAGAGATTGCAGGTAGCGTTGGGAATGGATCCATTGCACAGGCAGACAAACAGACTGCCCAGTGAAGCAGACCATCTAGGATTGGTAGACTCACACGTTCAACAAATGCAGAGAGATCCAACTGACCAGAAATGTTAGTTAAAGTTACAAGGGCATTCTCACGTACACAATTCAAGCAATGCCACCACCATGTGTCCTTATCAGTGATAGGACAGTCAGTATCCAAATCATCGTGATCTTCTCTGTCGTATGTTTGTGGTAACTGCTTACGTTCAGCATGTCTGTGATGCAGGAGCAGTATCCTTCCCATTACAACAAGTATACCTGCATGCTTGGACAGTTCAACGTCATTGCCAGGGATAAAAGACAAGCTGCGTATGATGTTGGATATTGTGATGCAGCGTTGTGCAAGTGAATGTTGAGCATCTGTAGATGTGACCAGAGCAGTTTGATCATTGCATGTTCCTTCATCTTCCAGAAGAGACAATGCAGGATGCATCAAGTCTTCCTTATACAGGGCAATAACATCCGACCTTTTCTTTGCAGCACGGAGTTCTTCACTGCAAGATTCCAACCACGTATCATCATCAGTATTATTTCTTCCATAGTACACAGCCTCTTGCTCTACTTGGTCTTCCTCATCATCTTGCTTTTCTTCTTCGTCCTCATCCTCCATGATTTCTTCATCTTCTGTATCTTCTTTCTTCTCTTCTTGGTCTTCTCTCACGGGTGGTTCATCGGTCTGCTCACACTCATCCATATCCCCAATACTGTCACTGCTCCTGCAATTTTCCTCTTCTTCAGTCTCTTTGCGATTTTTCTTTTCAGTTCTTTTGGTCTTCTTTACCATTTGCATGATTTGGGCTCTTTCAGCTTTCCTTCTCCTGGCCTGGCGATTCAGGATCTTAGTAAGAATTCCATCACTCTCAAATACATGTACAATATGTGCCGTCATATCACCACCACCACACTGCCAATGCACCTGGTTACTCTTGAAACCCTCATGATAGTCCCAGTCTTTCTCACTGGAGTAGAACCCATCTGCGTTGTGCTCTAACCTGACTACTCTCTTCTTGTCTGCTCCTTTCAGCTTCTCTATATCAAACAAGTTCAGTGCTTCTTGAATCAACTCTTCCTCTGCTTTTTGATGGTCACATTTCACCCTGCCCTGTGAGCGTGTTCTGCAAACACAATCTTGTGGGGAGTCTCTACTCCTGCAAATATCTTCTCTGTGAGTTCTAACCTCTACATCTATCAAAGTTCCAAACACCTTAATAAGGCTTGCCCGAAAGTGGTCCACAAGGATCTCCAGAAGGCCTTTTAACTGCCCCAGGTCAAAGTAGACAATGGTGTTGTTATCATACAGCAGGATGTTGAGGACTTCTAGGGCCCAGGTGCTTTCTGCTAAGAGTCCTGACTTCAGTGCCATCATCAACTTCCACGCTTCAACAGTGCCTGCAACCAAAATAATTCAAAAAAGTTCAGCAGTAAGAACTCTATGGAGGTCTTCAGTGGTTTTACAGAAGTAGTGAAACAGTCATCGTTTGTCACCTCTTATTCCCAGGAGAAAAACTTGTCTGAGTATGGTTTTGATAATGGAAGTATTTGCTAGTTTGTACTGTGTGAACAGAGTCAAGTAAGGACAGGTGGCATATGATGTACATACTATAAGTGCCTTCCTACATGACAAGCATACACGGACAAGGATGTGTAGCAGAAGTCTGTAGTACAATAATATTTTTCAATGTACTCACCGATATCTCGGCTAGTTTTCTTCTTTGGTTTGTTAAGTGCTGGCTGGGAAGCCTCCACAGAGTCTGGTGGAAACACAATCTCCTTCTTCTGTGGTGAGGTAGTGTGGATCTGAGGTGGGGATGACTTCATCATCTTACTGGGAGGGTGTCGATCCCTATGTGCTGCCATCAATGCCTGCTGAAGGGTCCTGGGTTGACCAGCTTGACTCACAAATGGATGTGGTCCCAAAGTGTTAGTATAGGGAGGAGCTGGCTGTCGTTGTTGTATTTGCATGGTGCCCCAGGAAGGAGATGGTCCTGATCCTGATAGGTTTCTATCTCTCATCGCATACGTCTCAGATATAAAACCTCCTCCGCTTCCCCCAAGGTCATGCTTTCCACCTTTACGTGCAAAAACAATACAAGGCTTCTTAATACCTAGCAACGAGTTTGAAATTTGGAGCCACTTTCTCTATACCCATTCCAGTAACTGACAAGGCTCTTATTAATTGTTGTTGCTCAATATGGAGATAAGGCTTGGCAGAACAAAGAGAACTTTTGAGACAAGATAACAGCTTGCTGTTTGCCTGAAATTGACCAGAAACACATACACACACAAACATTGCAAACCAACTTATGCGTCTGCTTGAAAAATTCTTCCAGTCTCTCACACCTCTAAAGATACATATCCCTTATTGCTTAGGAGGGGTATCAAACTATGGATACCAATCTCCACTCCACTGGACTTGTATTTCCATTACCAAGAACTGGGGAGCAATGTCACCCTGTTTGAATGAATGATAATAATAATAATAACGGAGTCTTGTATAGCGCACGTATCTACCAACAATTAGGTACTCAAGGCGCTGGAAATTAAGTTTATTATTAAAGAAAGGTAAATAAAGTATATGAGAAAATATGCCAGTATGTAGCACCTTATAAGGACTGACAAGGGTGCTACGGCGCATATTGCAGCCACTGCCAGAAACATCGGGGCAAACCCCTTCTCTTAGCGATAAGTGTTACTGGGTTCTTTAACGTGCATAACACAACACACAGGACCTACGGCTTTACGTCCCATCCGAAGGACAAAGCAATGTGATGTACAAACCTGTATAATAATAGGCACACTGGGAATAATTCAAGTGTGAGAGACGTATCATGGTCCATTTCAGAGCCCACCCAGAACCATACCAAGGGTATTTTAGGATATACTACAAGATATTCTTTGATAAAATTATTTCAATGCTTTTTCTTTATACCCAGGTGCCATTGAAAAAAACACGAGTGAAAATAAAAAGCAAGACACTCATCATACGTAGTGACAGTCCATTTTAGCAACCTTCCAGAACCATACCTAGGATATTCTGGGATGTCACACACTTTATGATCCCACACGTCTAGCATACGGCAAATGTATTATCAATGAATGCAGGGTCTGAACTTCAATCATGCTTTAGTATAAGGTACTGATACTGATATTGTATACTTTACTTTTAAATAAGGTTTGCTAGACTAATCACAAGTCAAGATTATTACTTTGTTGTGGTCCAGGAGTAGGTCCTTGATGAGGTCTGCCTTCCCTAAAGCCAGGAGGGAATCCCCCTTGATTAGCCATGGGTCTATCTCCTCCTGCATATGCACCTTGTGGATATGGACCTTGCTGTCCAAATGATGGTGGCATTCCTCGGTAAGCATCATCAGTTCTAGCCATTGCTGGAGTTGGAGTCATCATGTCTTGTCTTTTAGAAGCTGCCCCATACATCTCACCCTGCAAATATACAAATTTTAAATCAAGTCAACAACAATCAAGTGTGAGTATTCTGGCAATTGACAGAATACAAAGTTATAGAGTGTCAGTATTGTAATACTCGTACTTCAGTACATTTCTTCGTATTCGTACTCATATTTGCCTCAATGTTGCTTGTAGTTTCTTTGTTTTTAAAATTTTTCTGTTTTAATTTCAGTTAAGGCCTTTATCACTTACAGGTCTTTTCTGTGGAAATTGTTGCCTCATCTGGTCAGTGGATAAGCCAGTAGCATGGGCTGGCTTTTGTTGATTTGCTAGTGATGTCTGACCAAAGGATTCACTTGGAGTGGCTGGTCGGGAGCTGCTATGCTGCTGGCTGAAGCGAGATGAATACATAGTTTGGTCCATGGAGTTGTTTGGATAGGGTGGGATACCTGGGTTGCCTTGTTGAGCAGGTTGACTGGGACTTGCAGCCACACGCGATCTCTGCTGATCAAACCTTCAAATTAACCCATGCGAAAAATAATGTTCAATAAAGCAATGTAACTTAGCCTTCTATTTAACCCAATTCAATCCAAACACACCTCAACTAAAAACCAAGCTTTTATAATTTAGGTGTACATTGTATAGAATACTTTAAAGCTGGGCCACTGTTAAATTGTACACCGTTCTCGGCTTAAAGTCCCAATTGTGTACTAAAAGAAAAAGTCATTAGTTAACTGCATCAAGGCACATTTTACTAGATTGAAACAAACTAAAGTGGATAGATGGTATGTATGCACATTCTCCTAACTGAATTCATCAATCTAATCCAGTTATGGAGTGACAGTGGATTGTTTTTATAAGCATCAGTGTGCCCAACAAGTCTATTTGTATCAGGCATGCTGGTTATTAGGATGATGCTAGTACTAGCATTCATTAAACAGTGTACATGTAGAAGTTACATTTGCACAGATATCTTTATCCCAACACAAGACAAATAGGCTATTCTCAGACCTCCTGAAGCCCAGGGAAACAAAAGTTATTCTTTGTATTTATTTACCTTTCTCTCTCATAAGGGGTGCCATAAGGGAACTGCGCACTGCCTCCTTGATTCATCGGCATTCCAGTTGCACGATTATTGACAGGAAAAGACTCAGCACCAGGCATGTTAGTCCTTCTATTGAAGCCATCAGGCACAGTCATAGAATCTCTTCTGCTTGATGTAAATGGATCACTGCCAGTCATGGTATTGTTTCGCATTCCAACAGGAAAAGGTTCCCCAGTGGGGTGTCCACTTGTAGGTGGAAGGGTAGCCATGTTATTAAATGCATCCCCTCCAGCTCCCATGGGGTTGTTACGATACTGACTCATGCCAGGCCCATATGTCCCATCCACTGAGTTTTGTGCCATTCCTGGTGGGAAGGCCCCTTGGCCTGGACGAGCTCCTTGGGAGTTACCAGATGACTGGAAATCAACATCTGAAAAGGGGTCTCGTACTGTCACACTATTGCTAGTGGTATCATTAGGCATAGGCATCATATTGTTAGGCATAGGTGACATACCACGACCTATGCTGTTATGCATTGGCTGAGGATATTGGTGCATCTGGTTCATAGGTTTCCCTCCTGAAAGAGGCCGTTGCTGATATATGTCACGTGGGCCTCCATGGTAGTCCTGGGGTACTGGACCTGCTGGGGGCAAGACAACACAAACTAATTCAAATGCATGATCGTTCAATAAAGCCATCATGTCACTAAGATGTTAGCATTTAAAAGCTTGGTCACGTTGTGTTGAGGCTATTTTTTTGTTATGTGCCAATCAAATGTTTTGTACTGGGACCACTAAAACTCTATTGTAGAGTGATTTATTTTGTTCATTTAACATACAATCCAGTGCTGCAAGTCTAATCTAAAGTTTAGATCCATTTTGGTTCAGACTATTTTGTCAGGAATGAATTCAACTGGAGAGGATCGGAAATTGATTGTAGGACACATCACCATGGGTGAATGAAAAGAGTTATCATCTGTCAATCATCAGCTGCAGAGGACAGATTGTTACCTTTGGGCCATCTTTAAAGGTAGAGTCCATCATTTGTAATTTGTGAATTTTTTCGTTTGAAGCAACAAAAGTGCTCAAAATCTAAAAAAGGGTGCCAAACAGCTAACCTGAAGTTTCAGCTCAGTGAATGCTGTATATTCCAAGAAAAACAATATTCTAGGATCTCGATTTTAAATCTAAAGTTGCCGAGTCGTGTTTTGAATTGCGCCTGAATTCAGCATCTGGGAAACGTTCTTATTCAGTCAATTGCAGCTATGCATGTCGCGCACTTAACCGATGAATTATGCAGTTCCTTTGTAAAAACGTCATACACATGCGCGCACCACTGATTACTAGTGCCCATTGGCTAAACACTCAAGTTGCGTTAACTTCCGGTTCCATTCATGCTATGTTACACCTTGTGAAGTACGCATGGTTAATTTGAAATGCCGTCACACTAACGAACCGGATAGCAACTACGCGAGCGCGTGTGTCGTGTCAATGCTTGCGCGCGCTTCGCTGAATTAAAAAAATGAACTTTCCAAGAATGCGTCTTTAGACTTATCGTTGGAAATGGCCTTCCTTCATTGTTGACAGCTTGCCAGACAGAATAATTTCACAGGGAGTGAAGTCCCATTACTATCTTTAAACCAAGTACGGTAATTTTATCAGTTACTTTTTGGATAGGTGCAAATGATGGGCTGTAGCTTTAACTAAGGCCAAAAAAAAAATAGTTCTGCTTCCGATTACATGCCTTTCAAAAATAGGGTCGGTCGGTCGGAATTTATTTTTTTTTTGCCAATTTTTTTTATGCAGATTGAATGGGGTATTCAATTATATGCGAAGTTTTAGCCTGAACTATTTCTATTGCACTACGAAAGCTATACACGAAATGGCAACAAATAGTGAGTAAAACCTCCCTTTAATTATTGTCAATATATTTACGTTCGATAATTTCAAAAAATAATGGAAAATTCAGGCCGTTCGCACCATATGCACAACGCTAGTCAAGACGCGGGGAGCTGGCCAAAACTCTGAGGTGTGTGGCGAGCGGCCCACCATGGGCCGACAGACCTGTTTTTAACGGTCAACAATTTCGGGAAACACGCAGCATGTATCACTCCAAATACGAGTAGTGCGATCTCAAAATGAACTCTTGAACACAGAAAATACATACACAGACAAGCTAGATCAATTCTGTAAATTAACTTGCAAAAATGTTCTCTCTCCATCGGTGTTTTCTTGGCATTTTTACGATGTCGAATCCGACCAGTTGACAGTGGCCTGCACTGTACTGAAAGCGCGCTATCGGTCGCATAGCTAGCTATGGACTGGTTACCGCATTTTCATTATGTCTTCTAAATTGGCCCCTGCGCGGCGTGGCGGGAACCAGTCATCGCCACGTGATTATAGTCACCGTGCGTGACATCGAATTGCGAAGTAGTTATATCGCGAAGCGAATTTGTAATGACGGAGGTTTCTTTTGAAAAAAGCGAATGTAAGTAAGAAAACAAATAAATACAAGCATTGTTGGATGCAAAAGGGTTGTTGAGAGGTATTTTGTGAAGACAATGTTTGTTTTTTTTTGGAATTGCCGATAAATTTTTTAGGGTCGCAGCCTAAAAATAGGGTCGGTCGGGTAACCGGAAGCAGAACTATTCTTTTTTTGGGCCTAATCCCAATTTTGCAGGTGGAATGGAGTGTTCCAACTATTAACTTGAGCCTTGGAATTTGAGATGTAATACAAGCGCATTATACCACTGTTGGTTGTGGCTGTATCAGACACGGAACAATTTCAGGAGATTTGGTAAACGGCTAAATGGGTCAGTTTAGTAAGGGTCAGTTCAAAAATAATTAAATCAATTAAGCTTCAGTTTTGCTAAGGTTCAGTCTTCACAAATAACAGTATGTCAGATGAAATTAAACGGAAAAATAAATAAATAAACTAAATACCAGGGTGTACTGTCCCATAACTATCAAAATATATGACTCAGTTTGTACTTCGGTCAATTCTTAATATTACATAACCTGTTAAGACAGTGCATGGATTTTATGAGTGAACTTTATGAATGATACAAATATTTATGTACTCTATAAATTCTGTACATTTTGACCAGAATTCATGGCATTGGGTTTGATGCCAAACATCAATTTCATACTAAACTTCAAACAGTTGGAACAACATTTGAAAACTCCTGACTAATTGGCAAGCAATGCACTTAGAGGCTACAATCCATCTCTTTGACACCTGCATGTATTTGAAGAGGTCATGTGCAATACAATTGAATGTAATGTATTTTGTATATATTTTTTATCGTTATTATTTAGTTTGTTTCCCTTTTATTTTGTCGTATTTTCCATGGTTGTAACTTGTGTATTGTTGTTGACTTAATGTTCACAGGGGCCCCCACTCGACAAGCAGTGCTTCTTGGGGGCCCCTTCCATCACCTTATATATGTATATCATCCTTACCTATGTATTGACATTGACATGGAAAATAAAGTGAAGTGAAGTGAAGTGAAAGTGAAGTGAATACAAACAATCTTTTTACAATGTAAACCAGAAAGCTCATTTGCAGTGTTCTTTTTGAATAGTCAGAGTATCTTTACCTGGCATGTTATCCAACATTGGGTTTGCTGGTGCATGGTGATGAGATGTATCACTGCTGGTGGTATTACTACTGCTGCTACTACTCTTCTTCTTACTGGTATCAATCTCAGCCATAATGACCTGTGGGTCCACCCCACCCCTGTCATGGAAGCACTCGAAGGGCAAGAGGTACCGAATGTAGTTTTTCTTCAGGGTGAAAGCGGCACTATTGGAGCTGCCAACAGTCAAATACATGGCGATCTGCTTCCACTGCTTGTTCTTAGAAACCTGAAAAAAATTGAGTTATTAGTTACATGTACGTCTTCAACGGCATGTTTTAAATGAACATACTTTTTCAAAGATAAGTGTTCAAAACGTACATGTAAGGGTAGTCTGGAATACCAATCCAAAGGGCTCAAACGTCCCAACTGAAGCTCATGGTATACCAACTGAACTTAATTATGCACATGACAACATTCCAAAGATGGGGAAACAAGATTGGATTAACTTCAACTTTACAAAGATGGGCAGAACATTGATACAATATTAAATATAATACATTTTCTAAAAGTTAAATTATTCTAATGAGGTTGCAGTACCATACATGGAATGATACTAATTCTGAACTAAGTAATGGCAGCTCCTGGACTTGTTATGTTCAAAACTGTAAATTATCCGCATGCTGTATATGTGTGTATTGTTGCAATGATGTGACAATGCTACTGCTTCTTGGGTGATCATGCTGATCCCAAATCACCGTTTTGAAATTGCTGGACTTTTTCTTTGTTTTTTTTTCTGGAAAATAATTCCCTGTGACATTTCTTTTAAATGGTATAACGTATTCACTTGAAAGTTGGAACGAACATCGACCCTGATCACGAGGTGTGCATATTACTCTGTGTAATCAGGTATCAAATTACAATCGATTTTAATTCAAAATATGACCAACTTATTATATTTCACTTATAACTCTTGAACAAAATAATCTTCATACTTTGTGCAATCTGACAGACGATACCTTGATGAATTTTATTTTTGTGTGTACGGGAAGTCGCCTGACCTTTCCTTTTGGGGTTACCGGAAAGTCAAAGTTAGGTGAATTCAAAATACAATCACAAGCCTCAAATCAAAACAAACAAAGATTTCTTCCAAACAGTTCATGAGATGACGATAAAACCTGGCTGAAACTTGAACCCGGTCCAAAGATGTGAAAAATGTCATCATGACGTCATCAAGTATCAAATTATAAACGATATAAGGTCAGAAGTTGAAAAATACATGTAGTATAACTTTTTAAATGAATGTCCAGTCAAACCTGCCTTAGCAACCCAATGTATACAATGACCACCTGTCAGTAACGACCATTTATAAATCCCCTGCTGAAAAAAAACCCCATTATTTAAATGCTGTACATAATAAACCAACTGCTTAACTGGACCAGCAACCATGCATTATGCTTCCATACAGACGCTGAAGTCTGTACACAATGACTGCAAGCCATGAAAAGCGACCACCGACTGCCCAGTTGCTTCTGTACAATGGTTGTTTACTTACTCAAAAGAAAAACAAAAATAACAGCATTGCTGTTGAAAACCTTCAGCGAGAGTCAAGTTATCATCCGGAAACCATTAACCTTTAACTCAACATGGTGACCTTGACCTTTGACCCCAGAACCAATCCCAACATGCCTGTACCAATGGGCAACCCCCTACCGAAGTTACACACCAAAATTTCATTTCTAACTAAAGTTATCATCCGGAAACCAGTTACCTTTAACTCACCATGGTGACCTTGACCTTTGGACCCCAAACCAATCCCAACTTGCCGACTCCCAAAGGCAACCCCCTACCCAAGTTAGACACCAAAATCTCATTTCTAACTCAAGTTATCATCCGGAAACCATTTACCTTTAACTCACCACGGTGACCTTAACCTTTGGACCTCAAAACAAATCCCAACTTGCCTACTCCCAGGGGCAACCCCTACCAAAGTTAGACACCAAAATCTCATTTCTAAATCAAGTTATCATCCGGAAACCATTTACCTTTAACTCACCACGGTGACCTTGACCTTTGACCTTTGGACCTCAAAACCAATCCCAACTTGCCTACTCCTAAGGGCAACCCCCTACTGAAGTTACAATCCCAAACAACATTTCTAACTCAAGTTATCATCCCGAAACTAAGCTGCCCGGACGGACGGACGGACGTCCGGTCTGGAGATGGAATTGTGGGGTGATAGCATTGTGTTCCCATTATCCCTTTTTCTAAAGATTCCCTTCTGGGGTGATGTTTTTCTATTGTGAAAAAAGTGGGGTGATGTGTCCTGAAAGGAACATCACCCCACAAGGGGGGTATGGTCAGAGCGTCCAGACATACGGACGGACGCCGTAGGCGATGACAATACCCTCGAGCCTCTCGGCTGAGGGGTAAAAAGGCCACATAAACCACTTCAGCGGATTAGTCAATCAACGACAGGATATTTCCAGGACATCTTCTACTTAATCTGGGTCTGTGGTTGCATTAACAATGCCCCTATTGTTCAGGCTACCGCAACTTCGCTTTCATACCGCATTCGTATCGATCAGCCTGCTGTATGTGCTAAGCATACACATTATGCATGACCTGTGACCTGCCAATGAAACAGTCTCGTTCACTCACATGATTCTTTTATCATTATAATTACCTAAATTTTTATTTTTATTTGCAAATTTTCTGAATAAAAAACATCCCGAAATACACCACTAGTGTTGTTTGTCAATTATATTTTTAAATCCTTTTTTTTTAAAACTCTGGATTGACCTTTGATCTCCGTTCGATCGCACATTGTGTTTACACAATGTCGCATGTGTACGTACATCACTTTCATTTTGTTATTTTGTTTCAATGTCGTTTTCAAAAAAGAAAGAATATGGCTCCAAATTCTTCACTCTTAAAGCTATAGTCCATCATTTGTAATTAGTACATTTTGTTCGTTTGAAGCAACAAAAGTGTTCAAAATCTAATGAAGGATACTGAGCAACTAACCTGATGAAGTTTCAGCTAAGCTTCAGCTGTACATTCCGAGAAAAGCAGCATTCTAAGATCTCAATTTTAAATCAAAAGTTACTGAATCATGTTTTGAATTGTTTTGAATTGCAGCTATACGTGGCGTCGCGCACTGATCCGACGAATTATAACAACCGCGCGCGCGTGTGCGTCGTTCCAATACTTGTGCGCGCTGCGCTGAATAACAAAACAAACTACTAATTTAAATTTTCCTACGGTGCTTCTTAAGAATCACCGTTGGAAATGCCTTCTTTCGTTGATTACTTCAAAATGACAGCTTCCCAGAAAGAATAATTTCACAGGGAGTTTAGTTCCCTTACTATCTTTCAACCAAGTTTCTTTTAAACAGTAATTACGCCAGTTACTTTTCGGATGGCTGCAAATGATGGACTATAGCTTTAAATCACGGAAAGATTTCTCACAATCAGCTGTCGCTGGAAATGAAAACGGAGGTGATCAGAATGCATGACAATAAGAAGATAAACTGTCGCCCTATCGTCGAGAATCTGGAAAAACGCGTATCCATAGCATCATTAAGAGAAAAAGTGATGAAGAGATCAAAGCCCTGCTGTACGAGTGGTTCAAAGATTCCACTGCAAGAATGTTCCCAGTGGCTGGACCACTTTTTCAAGAAAAGGTGCTGGAGACTGCAAAGGAGATGGGCTTTCTGACTTCAAAGCATTGAAAGGGTGGCTCAAGTCCTTCAAAAAGCGGCACATCATCGTAAATGGCAAGATGAGTGGGTGAGAGTGGTGGCGTAGGCAGCAACACTGGGGACGTTTGCGTAGCTCACCCGGGTTGACATGGGTCAGCCCCGTGCTGTTCAATTAGCTCCAACGTCAGTCTCTGGGCTCACACGGGTCAGCCACCACAGACCCTGCTCATGAGCAGGGTCAGTGGTTGAAATACGTCACACGCATGCGTTATTTATTCCAAGAAACGGACAAATATGGTGGCCGGACAGCGGAAATCTGAAGTGGACTCAAAAAGAAACTTCATTGAAGTCTAAAGGTAATTATTTATTGAGTGCATTGCGAGTTTGGAGGCTTTAAAGGGAATATACATCATTTGCTTTTGCTGTAATTTTCAGAAATGGATGGAATTGGGGGGTTGGAAATATATAGCAAATATAGTTACACTGACTTTTTTAAGGTTTTGGGTTCGAAAATGCTATAAAAACCAAGAAAAACAATAATTTTCCTGTAGTCTGGTTCCCTGACTCCATTTAAGAAGAAACAGAGCAGTTTACATATATTGGGGAATTGTAAGGTCAGGGAACCAGTCTAGCTGGCTTGCACCCGTTCATAGGTGTGTAATCGATTGCAAACAAGTGCGATGGTCAACTAGGGCCAGTATTTGAAAAAAAGCCAGTTTTTTCCAACGCTGATCGGCCGATCAGCGTTGGAAATTGATACAAAAATACCACTTTTCTTGAAAATGACAGTATACCAGGTGCCATGATTTTACAGGATGCTTTACACTGTAATTCACTAACAGTCCAGCAAGGTATTTCAAAATGATTTGGTAGTTTTAGTTTTTGATGTTTGCAAATGTTGTATTTTCCCTTTAAGTCCAGCCCAACTTTGTTATTTTTTTTCCAATTGACAGAAAAGCTGTCAATCTCAAATTAAGACCCAGTACAACCGGGCATTTTGTCAGTAACTTTACCCGTCTGCCTTTACCCAGTCGATCGGGGTGAGCTACTCGAACCCACCCAATGTTGAAGAGTGGTTGAAAAAATGTCCCGACCTTTGTGGTGGATACGACCCCCCGGGACTTCAACAACATGCATATGTTTTTGTAATGTGGTAGACATTGCCCGGGCAATAGATTCCCGGGCACAAGCCATTTGACCTTGACGTCCGGTGTAACTAGAAGTGCAATGAGAGTTGAACATACATGTGAGTTGAATATACATGTACATTGAACTTGAAGCCTTACCTTGACTACACCTCCTCTCTCCTTAACTGCATGGTACAGTTTGAATAAATCCAACGTATGTGTGCTGATCTGTGGCATGGTTCGAATAGGCTGTCCCCGATCTTCCATTAACCGAAACACAGCATCTAAGAAAGGCTTGCGGTCTGGATGGTCACACAAGTCATACAACTTCATCAGCTGCAAGTGTAAGGGGTGAGAATCCAACAATCAAATCATCACTGCCTTCTCTTATACAGTCATACGTTAGTATTCACGGCACTGCATAAGTTGTTAACATGCTAAGAAATCAACACTTCATACCGTGAGTGTATGGGAAATACTAAGCTGATTCATTTTGGACAGAGAGATTTGTTAGTAAATGCTGGACTGTTTTCAGACATAAGTACATTAGGATTGTTACTGTGCTAAATTAGAATAACAAAGTGGTATATTGTAAATATGTAAACAAGATACTCAGGCAAAAAAAGCATGCAATATTATTAATGAATTGTTCCACATTTTTTTTTTAAAATGTCCCCCACCAAAAAAAACCTTGTCCCTGAATAACAATGTCTTGCTGACTCATTTTTGATTAATAACCAAGCAAACATGTGGGATCCAGAAAGAACACATTGTTAATTAACTGTGCAAACATACAAAACCAATCAAATTATGACAACATAAACACAATGCATGAACCCACACCAATAAGAATGCTTGCCCAGCGACAGTGAGACAGAGGAAATCCAGTACAGAGACAGAATAGAATCAAATGAGTGCATGGTCGTACCTGTTCATGCACCGAAGGCTTGGTGGAAGTGGACTGAAGGAGAAAAGAAAGACAGTGTCAGTGCATTCACCCCTTGCCTCAATGCCATGCAGGACAAACCACCCTGTGCACTTCATATTACAACCATCCCAAACCATAGTATTACTATCTCTTTACATTCATCCAATAGTTTTAAAGATGAATTCTACACAGATTGGTGTGCACATGCAAGAGCCCCAGCACTTTTCTGCATTATATCAATTGTAGGTTAGTTCATAGACTTGGCCAAGTCTGGGTTGCGCTCAGTCTGTATCTAAATATGTGCGCATACGTTCACTGTACACGCCGTACCATAAGGCGCCCTCATGCGTCAAATCCAGACCAACATGTTAAAAACGTACATGTACATGTTATTTTTATGTGATGCAGCAACCCAGACTTGGTCAATCTGCCAAGCATACGCGCTGGTTTGTTCCACATTTGTACACAGTCTATGGAAATTAATTTTCGCTGTGATTGGCTTCTACCCATTTGGGTAGAAGCCAATCAGAGCACAGTTTTTCAGGTAATTAGCATTTTTATTCTTAAAAACGCGTGCAGATTGTTTTGATATTATTCCTAACACGCAATCAAACATTGTCTGCATATTCGCGCAGCCAAAGTTTTGCGGAGTACGCACACGTATTCCATGGTGGGGAGTAGAAACAGACACACGCACGTGTACATTCAAATGCTTTGAAACGGCTCTGGGTATGCACAACACGTAGCACAATCAATGGATCTCAACATCTTTTACAGGTTAACCACAATAAAAATTCCCGTTTGTTTTGAATGACATTTGAATGTGTTCTTTATAAATTCCATCCAAGGGCAGATTATCTTAGCATTATCATCCAAATATCATGTGTTTGAAATCTACAAATTAAGATTACGTTTTTAAAACTTTTGCAGGTTGTTATCCAGCCTTCCATACCTACTGAAAATAATAAACGAGTCTTCAAAAATTGGTTACTTTGATTGGCCAAGCGTCGTTGCTGCATATGCATAGGGATGGTGTTGCATATGCATCGATGCTACGTGCGCGTACACGCGAGGGGGGGGGGTGCTGATGGCAGATTGATCAAGTCAGAATTGCTAACTTTTGCACCACATGTTTGCACATGCTCTGCAATAAATGCACACTCATGTACACTGTACGTATAATACGCGTTTTGGACAATGTACGTACAGTGTGTGCGCATTGTTATACCGTTTACGGCACTGATTTGGGACACGTGCTAAAGTGTACCTTATCGTGCTTTTGGAAAGACGTAAACTGATTGATTTTTGTGACTTTTTTTTTTTAAGATACCAACTTAAAGCAATTTCGACTTAAGTCTAGTTACATGTAGTCCAAGGCACATAGCCAGGGGAGAGGTTTGGCTAATCACCTGGTTTATTTTGTCTGCTCCCCCCCTCTCTCAATTGTTTATCATGTGCATTACTTCATCACATATCGATGTCTGTATCAACCTCACATGTAGTTACTTCTATATTTCATTTCACAGGTAGATTTCTGGCTACAGGCCTGTTTGATTTCTTCCATGAAGTTAGTAATCGATTAAAAAAATTGTAAAATTAACACTGAGAAGAAAAAGTTGGCAAAATTGGCAAATTTTGCAAGAAGTGTAAATATCATTAAATGAAAATTGACCTGTCATAATTCAAATTATATAACCGACATACATATCCTTGTCATTTGATTGGTGGAACTCACATCACGTGACATTCGTTATTGCTCCCATTCACGCCGCGGCTCAAAAAGTACTATCCGCCCATGGGGAATGGGAAATACTATTCAACAGTTAGGATCATGACGCGGTATTTGTGTGCAAATGCATGCTGGTGTGCGCGTTCAGCGTTGCGCGTAGCGGGTATTGTTCCAAAGAGCCAGCGCTACAGCGTTGGGTTCAAACATTTTCGAGAAGGGGTGGTTTGGAAGAGAGAAATACATTTTCCTCCAGTTTTTATTGAAATGAAAGTTCAAATATATCAAATGACAAGGATCTCTATGTCAGTTATATAAAACAAATATTGAGTGGCTTTAAATTGTGAAATGGGAGTAATATTATTGCTCGGTAAAATCTGGACTTTTCCAGTTCACTCGGCGAAAAGTCCAGATTTAACCTTGCGATAATATTCCTCCCATTTCACTCTGAGTCTGAGCCACTCAATATGTGCATAACATCATGCATTTTGACAGGAATTTTTTTTGTTTAAAAATAATCAATTACATGTTATTGCAGTTGGCATTTATTCTGGCACTAGATATCATCGAAAAGCAACCAACAATGAGAGAGAATAGTGCACCATAGTACCTGCCGATATGTGAAATATTTGGTAGAATTTTGCCTTTGATGATAGAAGCATGAAATTTGGCATGTTGTTTTCAAAAAGTTGGTTTGCGGGTTACACACAATATGACATGTTTTGGTTGCGCCACGGTACCAACCACCTGGTACTTTTCTATATTTGCCAACTTGGGTCAAATTTGAATTTTTTTAAAATACTTTCAAATTTCGTACAAAAATTATTTGGATCACTATCCATCCAATGAACAATTTTGGCATCAAAAATGTCCACAAGAGGGCGCTATACCCACTTTTGGGTGCAAAATAATCATTTTGTTGATCTTTTCAGCCAAAATCGGCACTGATAAAGTACTTATGTAATGTAATACCTGTTGGTGCTTTGCATTTTTTTTCATGCAAGAAGTGTAAAAAAGTGCCCCAAAACAAAGAAAATTATGCAAAAAAAGGCCAAAATTATATGTGGCTTTTCACACAAATGGCAGTCATATTGGATTTCCAGCATGCACAGCAGTTGGTCAAGTGACCATTGATTTTAATCTTAAGTGGATACTTGATAGGTTTCAGCAAAAAAAACATGGGTTTGACTCACGAAAATGCTTATTTCCGTTTTTGTCTACAAACGGGCCAAATTTTATATACCAATAGAGGTATCTACCACAATAAGTCTCCTCCCACTGTGCAGTGGACTTGATGTACCATATCCATATCAAGGGCACTGATCACAGTCATATCAAATTATCAAGGAGATTTTAACCGCTAAATGTAGCAATTTCGGAAAATGGCGGCCTTTTTTGTAACCTGACAAATCTGGGGCTATAGATAGCCACTATTGCCAAAAATCCCAACAAAGTATTTAACAACTTTCACATTTCATGCTTCTGTTATCAAAGGCACAATGTGTTCACATATCTGCTGTACGTACGGTAACAGCATGCAAACATGTCAATCAGAGCACAGTGATACATATATTCCCACAGCAGATAGAGTGCTATTTCTAGGGAAGTACCAAGTAATTCACTGAACACTTCAGTCATGGTCCTACCTACATGTACATGTACACTAAGAATATGAGCTGATGATGTCAAAGGGTTAAATACATGTTGTGTGCCTCTATGACTACAATGGCATCAAGTTCGCCAATGCAGTAATTGCAGAGCACCCCTTTTTCTGGCACATGGTGTATACCAACTCTACATATAAATTATACGTAGTGCAGTAGCATGCGAATTGCTCATTCTACCATGTGCATTATCTGATTGTAAACATTTGTTTAATACAGTACATCTGTAACAGCTATATTTATCTTGAAAGCATACCAGCTGTTTTGTATATAAAATATATCATCGATGCATTTTGTTTCCATTGATCCACTGACTGTTGCTGTTAGTTCTTGATATTAGAAGCTACTCGATGACCCATCACCAAGTTAAGCTGTGAAGGGCCCTCTCCAAGCATAAAAGTCAGTTGAATACTTCAGTTGTGTCAGAACAGAGCAATGGACAGGAAGGAAATACTGTACATACCCGTTTGGGAGGTTTGTTAGCAGGGCTAGCAGGCAACTTGTTGAGTAGACTAGGTGAAGGACTTGGTGCACTCTCTTCTTGTGAGGATTTACTGATGGCTCCTGGTGAGCCAAGTGGAGATGCCCCAAGCAGGCCGAGAGGTGGAGATGAAGGCCTTGATGCTGCGTCAGACTGCTTCAATATGGAAACAAATACAAACCAAGCAGTTATACACAAGACAATCTCTTTAACTGCAGAGGATCATAAAAACAACAAAAACTAGATTTATGTTTGTGGACAAACACAGGGCTGTTTCAGTAATTTTTTTGTGACGTGTGACATGTAAAGTTTCAAGTATAAGTTCCATCAAGGAAGGATGTGTAGTTCTGTTTATAATAAATGGTGGCATATAATATGTGATTACATTCTCATAGGGCTTTGAATTATGACGTCACATGTCACGTGATGACGTCATGATGACGTCACATCAATTTTTATGTATAACCATAATTTTATAGTAAAGAACAACTTAGCCAGAGCATACATCGTTGAAAGCAAGTTCACATCTTTCACCAATTTTAAATTAGAAGGCACTTCCAGTTTCAACCGGAAGGAAGGGTCACGTGATTTTGCACATAATCTAAAAAATGAAGACCCTGGATTATTCTATCCATTCCCGCAAACGTCAAGTTCAGGTCGCTCATGGTTGATTTTATAGTGATTTACAAAGATTGAATCTAACAATCTTTAACACGACGTCACATGACCCATGATGAGGTCATCGTGACGTCACTTCAATTTTCATCTATAACACATCCCGGTCTAGGTACAGACCAACTTTAAACCAAATTGGACCTGTAGTTCTGTAGATATAGGTCTTCAAAATCTGCACTTTTAATGTGACGTCAAGTGGTGACGTCACGTGATGACGTCATCGTGACCTCACTTCCCGGTTTAGGTACATATCAAGTTTCAACCCAATCGGACTTGCAGTTCTGGAGATATAGGCCTTCAAAATATGTTTATTTTATATGACGTCATATGTCATGTGATAACGTCATCATGACGTTAAGTTAATTTTCATCTATAAGACATCCCGGTCTAGGTACATACCAACTTTCAACCCAATCGGACCTGTAGTTCTGGAGATATAGCCCAATCTGTCAGATCTAGCAGAATTCTGCTAGAAAATGGTCACATTAGAAAAATCAGATATAATGTGACATCACGTGACTCGTGATGACTTCATGATAACGTCAATGTTCCGCACACATCTTCAGATGCTGGTCTAAGTGTGTGCCAAGTATAAAGTCAATCGGATTGATTTTATTGGCCAAAGTGCCTTCCACTGTAAAAACATGTACAAATGCTATGAGGAATGGCTGAAAAAGAAGGAAAACTAGAGCTGTATGTCTGTTTGAAAACAGAACACAGGGCTTTTTCGCCTTTTACAAATGTTAATGTTTTGTTGGTCCTTTTGCCAATGTTTGCAGTCACTTTTTAGAGTGCTTCATGCAGTTAAAGGTTGTTCAAAATGCTTAGAATAATTCCTAAAATGTAATTTTATCACATGACGCTACATGCCCTGCAATGACGTCATCTTTACAATACTTGTCAATGCACATTTTCTTAGTTTGTATTAAGTTTTAAGTCAATCCGATGAAAGGAAGTGTTCAATTTTGAAAGCAGAATGAAATTGTAAATATTAAAAAAATCATATAAAATCAACCGATGACGTCATGGTGACGTCATTTCGGATTTTGCATACTAGTACCATTATCTAGTTATCCACCAAGTTTCAAGACGATCAGACTTTCTCTTATATGTGTTTTTGAAAATCGCATTTTTGACGTCATGATGACGTCACACACATTTTTCAAAATTTTGTGCATATACCTATTATCTAGCGAACCAAATACAAAAAGAATTCTGAATTTTGCATGTTGCGTTCGTGAGATATGGCTTCAAGGTCCAAATATTTAAATATTCATATAAAATCGCACAATGATGTCATCATGACGTCACCTCATTTTTTACCTACATATATAACACAACCCGGTCTATCCAATCGGACTTACAGTTCTGTAAATATAGGACTTCAAAATATGCACGTTTGTGATGACGTCACGTGACCCCTGATGACATAATCATGACGTTACTCTTCGGGACACAACTTTGCCATAAGGACAATGCATATGCTTAATTTGAATAATGTATGAAAAGTTTAATGCCAAAAGTGACGTGCACTAAAATCGTGTACAAAGTCTATGGGATTTTTGGAACAAAAAGAAGGAAAACAAAAAAACAAAATCAGAACAAAAACAAATGGCTTTTTGGCAAATTTGCGAAAAAGCCAAAAAAAGAAAGAAAAAAAACAAACTTTAATGAAAACAAAGGCTGTTTCGGCTGGTTGCCGAAACAGCCAAAAATGTCCTGCACCTGTCATGCATGTGTAAACAGACCATTTGCAGTTCATTAAGCTGTTCACAAAAAACCTACATATTTATAATATTTTGCTTCCGCCAATACCAAAAAGGAATTCTGTCCAGATTATAACCCCCTCTAAACCCTGACACCTGAACACCCTTTAGTACCAACAATCTGGTGCTCTCCATTTACACTACCCAAAATCCTGGTGAGAACGCTGCTATACTTGTTACAATTGCATAGATCTGTATTTATCTTAAACAGGCCATGTTACTGTCAGTTGCAACACTTGCTAAAAGCTTCTGCTAGAGACCCAGTTACATGTAAGTCACCATGATTTTCGGATATTTTTTTAATAGCTTATTACGTTGTTAACAATCCTTGCAACATATCTGGGAAATTTTACATGCTAAATTGACTTTTTTTCCTGTGAAACATACAGGATCTATAGCCTCACTCACAGAGTCTCTTGATTGGCCGGCAGTGGGTTACATGGTATTCACTAATTGTGTTTTACTACCGGTATATTGCTATGTATGGCCAAAACGACTACAGTCGAGTCTCGTTATAACAAATCGTTCAGACCGAGCCAAATTATTTGTTATATCAGAATTTTGTATTAAGAGGAACATCAGTCCCATTCATTGTGCACATAAATACACAGTCGGGACCAAGGCTTTTATGTTTGTTATAACCAGAATTTTGTATTAACAGAGTTTGTACTAACGAGAGTTGACTGTATAACAACTGCCACACTCTGAGAAACTACTTTAATTATGCATATCAACCAAGGGAGCAAATGGAGGTCCGTGTGTACACATGCTGTGTACATTGCATGTTTAATTGCAACGCGTGAGAGAATTGGGTTCAGATGTTTCATGGAGAGGTGGTTTCGAAATATGCAACAACAAAAAATCAGTTAATTTCATATTATAAAAGTACTTTATTTGTTGATTTTGGTTTAATTAATCCGATGTCTCAAACAAGGTGATCTGCGGATCGCGCAAGTCGCTTTTTTTCACAGTCCCTAATCGAAATATATCATCCAACAATATCATCCAAATATATCAAATTATGCAGACAAAGAAACATTCAAAGTATATTTGCACAATGACCTCTGATGACACCTACATGACCTTTGACCGCAACATTCCAACAAAGAATTGTCTTCTCACCCAAGGACCATTGCATCCAAGTTTCATCAACATCCATTAAAGCATGTACACTGTTAAACATTTCCACCCAAAAACCTAACCTAAACTTCTGTGACTTACATCATAGGCCAAGTTCGCGCAAGGACTATAGTTGACCAATGGTTAACTAACGTTTGCCCGAACTCTGTCTAGTCGACGGTGGTTGACTAGGCTAGTCGACTATTTGGAACCAACCTACTGGGGTTGGTTGCTTCGCTGGTAACCAATAGCTGCGCGCATCCATAACGCTAGCAGAGAGCCAGGATCCAGAAGTTTTGCGATGACATTTTGACCAGCGTTTGACTAGAGACGTTCGCACGTTGCTATCAGTGCGCAGGCGTAAGGTACGTCACAAATCAACCACTAGTCGACTAATGGTCCTTGCCCGAACTTGGCCATTATTGACCTCAGTTGACATGTTACCTAGGACCTTAGACCTGTAATAACCCACATTATCTTTGCTACTCATTGACCCTTGTGTCAAAGTTGTGGAATTGAGACAAATACTTGGGAAATGAGAGTAATTTCAAAAACTGTAACATGCACATGGTCATTAAAACCCGAACTCCCTTGTGTACTTTTACTCACATAATGCATTTGAACCAAATCCGCTGAAATCCACCACACCACCACCACTACTATAGGTGGATTTTGATGGACTTGGTACAGAGGGCTTGCCTACCAAAATCTCCAAAATGGATTTTGATGGATTTGGGGTGGTTAGGGTTAAGGGAAACGGTCATGCAGTATATAGGACTGGTAAGTGCCCCCCAAAACTATTTTAGGTGACACAAAAATTAAAGGAACACTGCATCCTGGAAAGCGGCCAATAGGACAATAAATTGCATTGTCACAAAACAATATTAGTTGGAAAGAGCCTTCTAAAATAGGACATATCCGTCCACACAACCATAGCTTAAAATTTGGCCGCTTTTGTATTATTCTTGTGAGAATGAATTTCTGGGGTCAAAGTGCCATTTTTCTGTGTTTATACAAGGCTCTCAATGAAGGCTACCACTTTAGATTACCGTTTTTATTGGTAATGGTTTCGGTAACTAACTATGCATACGAGTACACAATTCAAAACAACGGAATGGTTGATAACGGTTACAGATATCTAAACCTATGCGTACACGATGCAAAACCGCTTTAAAATCAAATATTTTTAATGAATGAGCAAGAAGGGAAAAGCTCTGTGTTCTGTTCGAAGACAAATGGAAAGTTAGTTTCACCTGCCTTGTCTAATTTACAGCTGGACCACATCACAGCAGACAACTGTATAATGGGAGTCACAACCAGGACAAGAATGTGAACATTTGTGTGCAACAATCATTAATTGTAAGAAGGAGACTGACACTTACATCATGACATGTTGATGCAAGTGCTAATTTGCCTTCTCTTTTTTTTTTAGCACGTACATTTAAACCACTTCATGTAAAGTCAAAAGCAGTCATAATATGTATGTGCCATGCAAAAAATTGACATGAAACATTCTTTTCCAAATGTTCAAATCTTCCGAGTTTGAAACTTGGTTTCGCGAATGGAATGTCACAACAGAATTACTGTGGGCCCAAAATGACTATTGCCATGCAAGGACAATATCTGGGCGGGGCCTATGTGCCCTTGTGTGCCCAAGTTTAATCCTCAAGGTTTCAATAAGTTCAGAGTCTTGTAGCACAGTTGTGAGTTAAGACTCCATGCACAAGCAGAAGATGGTGCTTTGTGACCACTCAAGAGAGCTCTACGTTCACTACACACTGCCTGCACACACACGTTTGCTGTGGTATACACACAATTAATTGTCATCTGAATGTGCATAAGTACTTGCATCTTCAATTCAGGCGTTTCACAATGCAGTGCACCACCAAGAATTTGCCATGGAAGTCAATTTTCAAGTTTATGGTCGACAAAACACGGCCCATTTGAACGAGTATCAGTAGACAACTGGAGCTAATTTGTTAAGGATTGGGGCATAGCATTGTTCCGCCTAACCAAAAAAAATCACATTGATAAAAAGGGCAAACAGATATTCGAATCATACGCTTACGAAACTGCTTACCGGACAAACTAACAATTTCAAATAGCCAGTGCTGTGAATTTGTCGACCATCTCCCACAATGCACTGGGAAAAATGAAATTTGCATGGCAAACTCTTGGTGGCGCACTGCATTGTGAAATGCCCGAATTGGGCACCTGGTTTACGGTAGTTAACCATCTGTCTTTGTCACTTGTGGAAGCGGGTACTTCTGCACAGAGTTCATAATGTCTGAATACTATTGAACAAAGTTAAGGGGTAATACCTTGACTGTCTTCTGAGACTGTGGTGTATCTGCTCTGACATCATCCTTAGACATCGCTGGACTGTTTTTTGGCGTGTCTAGCATGTTTGGCATATTGCCTACTCCACTTGTAGTTACTGAGGGCATGCACACTGGTGCTGTTATACTTGGAGTCACTGATGTCCCCACTGACCCTGAATGAATTAACAAACTTGAACGGTTACGTTTAGTCAAGTACTAAAAGCTTTAACAAAATACATGTACTAGGGGAAAAAATGATACTTTTCTTCCATACTGTACTTTTATTGGTCTGAAACTGTCATGTATCTTGCATCAAACACTTGTCATATCATTTGAATATTTTTGTATTTGGCAGGGTAACAGCATGGTGCCAATGTGTTTTTCTCATCCTAAACTATGCATTGTGATAAAACGGGGGATCTCTCAAACATATTAAAATTAAAGAGCTAACCCTCCTGCTATTTAAACAGTCACAGACAGTCAAAATTCACTTCCACTTCCCCTACTATACTTTTACCAAAGGCTAGTCACCAGCAGTCAGATCACGTCAAGCAAGCACTGTGTCTAGTCAACCTGGGTCAACAGACAAAGCAGGCAAGTTGTGGTCACAGCTGTTTTGTCACTCACCCCGAGTCAAAGCATAGCTGTGTCAAGTTACTTAAACAGTCCCAGCCACTCAATCCTGCTTTATGTAGGCTGGGAATTCTGAACTGTTGAAAACAGTCACTTGATTGATTTTGACTTCATAGGAGGGTTAAAAAAATACATGTACATTGCTTACATGTGAAAATGCTAATGTTTTTGCATTAGACATCACCAATTTGGCACAATAACTCACCCGGTAAACTATTTGCCATTGTAGTAGTCACTTGTCCTGAGCTGTCAGTTGACATGAAAGTATTGTTCCTTTGGGAATTTGCATTGGAGAACAGAGGCAATGCTCCAGGAACAGTTGCACCGGACATGGAGTTTGTCAGAGGCCCAGGTGATGACCCATACATTGAATTGGGTATGGAATTAGACATGGAATTAACCATGGAACTAGGTGGCATGGGACTAGCCAAAGAGTTTTGCATGGAAGCTGGCAAAGAGCTGGGCATAGGACAAGCTGAGTTTGGATATCCCTGATTATGTGGTATTTGAGGCCAATGTTGCTGTAACTGCTGTTGTGGTTGCTGCTGTTGATACGGTGGTGGGAAAGGTTGAGGTTGCTGTCGTCCCTGATTCTGAGCGCCAAGTGTTCGATGATATGCTGTTTTAGCTGAAGCCATGTTAGCAGCAGCAATGACAGCTGCTTCTGCAGCTGCCTGTGCGCCTTTATTTCCTGGTGGAAGATTGCCTGGGGTTGGGCTACATATTCCTGGTGATGTAGACCCAGCGGTAATACTTGCGTCACCAGAGGTTCCAGTTACACCAGAAGCACCTGTAACCAATCCTGGACTGCTCATTCCACTACTGCTACAACTCGTATTACTACTTGCTGGTCCCACACCATGTTGGTCTGTTTTATGTGGGTGATTGTAGCCATAGTTTGCTGCTCCAAGTCCTGGACTTTTGATACCAGAGTTCATTGCTGTTGAGCCATGGGATGGACTCATTCCAGGCCCACCATTATTAGCCATGCTTCCCGAGTTGTATCCTGAATATTGTGAGTTGCTTAATCCATCCATGCTTGAAACACTGCTACTGCTGCTAACACTGCGCATACGACCATCCATGAACATGTTGCCACTACCAGTACCGTTACCAGTAGAATGGGTGGGATAGCTGGAAGGCGTTCCCCCAAATCCCTGCACGCCAGCCTGCCTTTGGTAGTTTCCTAGGGTACACATTGATAATAGACACTTTCTATTCAAAAACACATTGACACATGCTGTTTTTGTTACTTAGTGATACATGATAAACAAGAATACAGTTTAAAACTTAACATTTTGCTAACTCGTGATTCAAAACATTCCCTTTTCACAGCTATCAGAACTAACACTTTCAATTGCACTGTGTCACATTCAACACGGTTGAACATTCATGTTCCAAGCTGCTACATGTATGCCTTCTTTCCACACTGGCGATTAAATAATTCAGAAAGATGCAGAAACATGAAGTAGTGATGTACATGTAGCTGTGTAAAGGGGGAGTAGCCTACGGTAGTAACATGAAAGAACATGTAAGGGAAAAACATAAACCATACATCTACATTAACTCTAACCTTCCCAAATCCTCCAAAATCTTCTTTGCAAAATGGAAGATTTTGCAGGATTGAGGCTACATGGCAAAAACTGCATAGCTGATTTTGCAGGATGCACTGTGTCAAGGTCTTGGGCCGGACCTGGTGTTGTTTATGCTCAGCGTGCATAAATTTAGGCCTACAATCCCGGCCAAAACTCGCTGGGCCCCCCACCCCCCGCCAATGTTGTCTCTCATTACGTGGTCTGTGCTCAAGCGCATTGTCCTCGTCTGAATGTATGGTGTGGACCGGGGAGCGGGGGCCTGGTATGCATATTGTGACGTGTCCCAACCATTTTGGCTGGGATTGTAGACTATACTTGAAATCATCCGCACTGCTCCAGGATGTCACTGGCTCTGCCTCAACATATTGACAGTGATCGCTGGAGGATTTTGCAGGATTGAGGCAGTGGTCACCCCACCAAGGACCACATTCGAGAAATTATGGAGGATTTTGCAGGATTGAGGCTTTATGCTCTTTTTACATGGAGGCAGTTGGAGGATGTTGCAGGATTGTGGCAGTGGTCACCCCTCCAAGGACCACATTCAAGAAATTATGGAGGATTTTGCAGGATTGAGGGTTTATGTTATTTTTACAAGGAGGCAGTTGGAGGATTTTGCAGGATTGAGGTTACATCCTAGCAAAAATACCTAGGGAGTTAGGGTTAAGAATTTCACAAAGTTAATACTGTGATAAATTCTGGAAATTCTGGGAAACAATGACTTTGTTTTGATTCAAATTCTGATTCATATTATAACTTATAACATATTATAACTCAAATAATGACATACAGCCAATTCTGTGTACCTTGTTGATTTAATTGGCTGGTGTTAGGTCCGTATCCCACTGGAACCCCTCCTGGGTAACCAGCACCCATCCCAGGGAACATCTGTGAGCTGCCAGGGGCATTAACCGGATGAGTTGATTGTTGCTGCCCATGGTGGTTTTTGGGGGTACCCTGTGAGCCATAGGGTGGTGGCATCTGATTGGTTCCCATCTGAGTTGCCACTGGCATCATTGGTTGGTTAAATCCTGCAAAATCAACCAAGAAAACCACACAGCAAGCTCAGATTAACAATTTGTACACATTAGATGACATTGCAGATTTTGTACTGCTACAAAACTAACAAATTTTAAATTTAAAGTAAATTTTGACAAAGTCTTTGACCCTAACAGAACTCAACCCATCAGACCCCAACACCATGTATTGTTGGAATCTGTCGGGATGGGTACAGTACCCCTAAACTGACAGTCTTTTACACTGGGTTGGCACACCTCCAGAAACAAAGTCAGAAATATGTGTGTACAGTTTCCCATATGGTGTTGGAATTTGCCAGGATGGGTATGGTTCCTAGTAAATCATGCTAGGGAGTAAGGGTTAAGGTTTTAAATCTGGGGAAAAGTCAGGGTTTCTTATACCTACTACATGTGCTAAATTGTACTCTTGGGAGATTGTTGTCTTTACATGGATAAAACAGGTTCAGTAAATTTAGTCACTGTCAGTGAAATGGCTCCACTCACCTCTGTCTTGTCCTATTGGTGACTGACTCATCTGATTATGAGAACTGGTTTCTGTCTGGCTGGAAGGTGGTGGCATGGAAGTTGGTTGAGGAGTAAGCGATCCTCCTATATTACAAACAAAACAAATAAAACTAGCATTGTTGTCTGTCCATCATGGGCAGAACCAGCTTTCCCTGGAAATGTGCTTTTATCTAATGTTGAAAGATATGCATAATGCTGTACAGTAAAATCAAATTCAAATATTAAAATAATTATAAAACAATGAGGTCATCATGACATCTCAATTTCATGACAATTGAACCTTTTTATGAATGTATATTTTTTTTTAAATCAGATAATTTATGTCACAATGGCACTATCCAATCCACATTTGTATATTTTTAATGCACATTTACAAAAATGAAGATCTTAGTCTATGCCAAGCTTCATTAAGATATGTAACCCTCCTGCACAAAACCAGTCATTTTATTTATTTTTGAAAACTGAGATTCTGGGCTCATTGGAAAGGATGATGAATAATCTTTCCAATTAGTAATAGGTATTTTCAGTTGTTTTGGTGCAATTTCTGAGTCTTTCTAAGCAATTTTGTCAGTTCTCAAGAATCAAGGGTTGATGTACATGTACTTATGGTAAGAAAATACAATTTATCTTTATTGATAGTGAAATTATTTATTATTCTAGCTTCTAATGCCTTAATTGTGCAACGTGCGACATGTGACTGGTTTTGTGCTGGAGGGTCACATATATCCCGGTTAAGTCTGTTTAATGTCAAAGGTGGCACTGAGAATGAAACATGTACAAAGTCTATGGGATTTGGGATAGAAGAAAAACAAACACTAGACATATGTGTTTCTGTCTAAAGACAGATCACACCGGAGTTTTCCGATACGTAGAACACCTTTAACCCTAACCGCCCTGAATCCTTCAAAATCCTCTTTGCCAAAATGGAGGAATTTGTAGGATTGAGGTTACATGGCAAAAGTGCGTTACTGATTTCGTAGGATGCACTTTGTCAAGGTCTTGGGCCAGACCTTGTGTTGTTTTTGCTCAGCCATGCATACATTTAGGTCTAGATTTCGCTTGAAATCCTCCGTACTGCTCCAGGATGTCACTGGCCAAGCCTCAACATATTGATAGTCACTGCCGCAGGATTTTGCAGGATTCAGGCAGTGACCACCCCTCCACAGACCATATTCAAGAAATAATGGAGGAATTTGCAGGATTGAGGCTATATGCCATTTTTCCATGAGGCCCATTGGAGGCTTTTGCAGGATTGAGGCTACATCCAAGCAAAAAGGCCTAGGGAGTTTAATTAAGATGATGTAATATGACACCTGATGAGATCATCATGACATCATACTTTGTGGACAATCTTCAGTAAAGGGTCTGTGTTCATCAACATGAGCTTCAGAAGTGACAAAGTGTCACCAAACAAGTCTATGGACTCTTGGTGCAAGGAAAACAAATCTAAACAAGAAATAAGGCTTTACTGCAAATTATGCAGAAAAGAAAAAAGGGGAGGGGGAACAAAAACAAAGGCTTTTCTGAAACACTCCCGAAAAGCCAAAACAAAACTAAAATAAACAAAATAAACAAAAACAAATAAAAAAAATTCATATAATAAAAATTAATATATCTAAAAATTAGGCAAACAATTAGTTTAGATATTGTGAGATGTAAGCCGACCATGCCACTTCCTGACATTATGATCTTCAGAAGTAGTGTCACATACCTGGTACACTCGCAGGAGAAAGTGATGAACGTGACATGTGACTAGCCGGAGAGCCTACTGGTGAGGGGGACGGTCTTAATGCAGATACCGTAGGATGCATGTGGGGGGACTGCGATGATTGCGAGTAGGAATCAGTGCTCTGGGAACTTGTAGCAACATTATTCTGAGAGAAATCGGCTCCAGTTGGCAAGTCATCCAAGGAACCAGAGAGATCCTGGGAGGGAGAAGCAGAGATAATCAAAAGGGAAATGAAGGAAATCTGGTGACTTGGCAAGTCGCTATCACAGCAAGGGAATTGCCGAGTAAAGATAGATTGAATGCGGCTGACTGAGTGGAATGAATCAAGCAAGAGGCTCACACCAAACAGCACTGACTGCCCCAGCAAAAGACAAAATCAAAAACTGCAGGCAGCAAAATTGGTATGTTCCTGTTGGGGAAGGGTGACTCAGACAGCTTGATGAAGCTATAAATTGCTGCCTGTATTTGCAATACCTGCTATGGGGCCTACTGCACAGACTGTATCAGCCAAGCTGGCCATTGCTCCATGCTGACATGCAATGCACACGCTGTTAGGATACCAGTCTGTGCCTTTCTGGGAAAATGCTGGGGTTTCTTCCTCCCCAAATGTGTTGACAAGTTGTCAGAACAGGGTTCTATAAAAATTGTATGCCCCTGTCCCACGAGAGTACATCATGAATGAAGAAAAGATGGTGTGGCTAACAGAATAAAGACAACCAGAAATAGTCAATAGATACGTGTCTGAAGATGTCCCCAAAGCAGAAAACACAATTAACAGTATTTTCAAAGTTACTCATTAAGAATTACAATATTATTTTTGACAGAAATAAACAAAACCTATGTGCGTGAAGGTGATGCTCAACATGGATTTGTACAACATTCAGAAGTACATGTACTTATCAAGTGTGAATATTTCAGATACAGCTTCAACTGACAGTCAGGGAAGGAAGTATCATTACTTTGAAATTAAAACAAATTCAATAACAAAGTTCTTTAGATAACACAGCTACATCCTCAGTTCCCACCAAATTGTACACGTTCTAAAAAATTTGGTAAGCCCAAATTCTTACTTTTTCCAATATTTGTGCCTATGCATCACTCTAATTTATTGTCATATCAGTTGATATCAGGAGGGAAAATATCGCCCACAACAAACATCAGTAGAGCCAACGCAAGAGGACACTAAAGTGAATGAAAAGTGACTTTAAAGAACTCCATCATATTTAGGTACCAAACATGTACTGTACTATTCTCGAATATTGCTTTTAAAAATAGATAGGCCTACATTTTGTTAATTCTTGTTTTTTTAGGTATACAAAAATTATTCACTTTTGAATGAAAAAATCTCCCCATGTTTACTTACCAAATGATTACATTGCAAGTTTTGCATTATTTGCAGCCCAAAAATAATTCAGTTTCCACAGGTAGACTGGTTCCCTCCCCCGCATCAGAAGGAATAAGGTGGGGACCAGGAACAAGTCTACTTGCAGGGTGCATAACAGTGCATTTTGTTTGTTTGTGGGTTTTCATTTTTTTAAATAAACAATGTGAAAATACATTGGGAGCAAAAAAGAAAAGAAAAAGGAAATAGTACATTTTATAATTTAAATTGAATTTACGTTTTTCACTATGGAAATACTACTTCTTTAAGTGTCCCTAGAAAAAACAAAATTGGGACTGATACAGTTAATAGATGATGCATGCACTGCCTCAGAGTTTGGTATAAATCTGTATGATGTCTGAAATGACATCAATTTGCCAGAACAAATTCCAAGATTCATATAGCTGATGATGTGACCAACTTTGCACATGTCAGTCCTAATTACATTTTTTTAAAACTCAAAACGCTTCTCAGTTACATGTACATATATCGACGTCTAGTTCCATATTAGGCCGGAAAAAAAACACTTCTGCTTCCGATTACATGCCTTTCAAAAATAGGGTGGGTCGGTCGGAAAATTTATTTTTTTTGTCAATTTTTTTTATGCAGATTGAATGGAGTATTCAGTTATATGCGAAGTTTTAGCCTGAACTACCGGGATTTCCATTGCACAACGAAAGCTATAGGCCCTACACAAAATGGCCACACAAAATGTGAATAAAACGTACCTTAATTATTGTCAATATACATGATCTGATACACCGTGCCCTCTGGAGACGTGTACACAATAGGGAACAAAAGATTGTATACATGTACGTCTCCACAGGACAATTTCAATGGATGAATACGTCTTCACAAGATTTTCACGAAATAGATATATGGATTTTACTCAAAAACTAGGAATTTCCAAGGTGGGTTGATCGTCGCAAATGGAAGAGTTTTAGAAAAGGGATATTAAGTCCAAATTTTAGCCAAGGAAATTAATTCTGGTTAAAATAAGAGCATTTTGAAACTTCACTTTCAAACTCGAAAACTCTACTCCACGAGAACAAAGAAATGTCTCCACAAGAATACAAATTTCAGTATGTGTGTGTATTTACATTCGATAATTCTTAAAAAATAATGAAAAATTCAGGTCGTTCGCACCATATGCACAACGCTAGTCAAGACGGGAAGCTGGCCAAAACTCTGAGGTGTGTGATGCACTGTGCATGTGTGGCGCGCGGGGTCGACCATGGGCCGACAGACCTCGTTTTTACGGTCGAAAATATCGGGAAACACGGGGCATGTATCACTCCAAATACGAGTAGTGCGATCTCAAAATGAACTCTTGGACTGGTTACCGCATTTTCATCATGTCTTCTAAATTGGCCCCTGCGCGGTGCGGCAGGAACCAGTCGTCACTGCATTGAGCTAGGTTTATCGCGAAGCGAATTTGTGAAAATAACGGAGGTTTCTTTTGAAAAAAAAAGCGAATGTAAGTAAGAAAACAAATAAATACGAGCATTTTTTGACGCAAAAGGGTTGTTGAGAGGTATTTTGTGAAGACAGAAAAGACAACAAGATTTTATTTGTATTTATTCAATCATTATTTTTTAATTTTTTTTTTGGAATTGCCGATAAAATTTTTAGGGTCGCAGCCTAAAAATAGGGTCGGTCGGGTAACCGGAAGCAGAAATATATATTTTTTTGGCCTTAGGCCAAAGGGGGGGGGGGGGGGGAGGATGTGTAGATGGGTAACCCGAACCACCAGGTATATTTGTGTGGTAAAATTGCCTACCATTAACTTTGTATTGCCACATTTGATGCAAATCGTATACCGTCGTGTGCCCAGCAGAAGGGCATATACGCGTATGCCCTTATGCAATAGCGGGTAATCAACAAAATGTTCCCAGCAAAAGGGCATATATGCAGAAAACTGTCTCTATTTTAATGAAATTTTTACTTTTTTCGTCAAAAATTAATACAGGTTGTTCCAAAACTCATGATTGATATGTGTGACAAATTTCAAAATCGTACGATTTATAATACGGCTGGGAGAACATTGGATTCATAATACATGTGGGGGAACCATAGAACCTTTCAGTGCATTTTTTTTTTTTTTTTACGATTTTTGCTTCAGAACACTCATATGTCCTTCTGCAGGGCACCCGACGATACTATGATGGCTTCCTTAAAATGGTAATTAAACAGTCACATTGGTTGAACAGTTACATTGGTTAATTAGAAACAACTAAATAAACAGAATAACATTAAACTAAAACAAAAAACTAAGTTAGTATAAAAGAACAACAGACAAACATTAAAAAAGTTACTCAATAAAGCAGTTTTCCATCCAACCTAAATGTAAGCTCAATAATTATCAGGACGTTACCATAATCACATTTTTTTTTTATTGGGCTTTGGTACTGGTACATGTTTTATGCACAGGACAACATCATCACACACAAAAAAATCCAAAAGCAAAAAGAAAGAAAAATCAGACGACGTATGGTAAACATAAGCAATACCGGTGGAGGTACAATGTAAATGTGCCATTGATTTTAAAGAGGATCCCTTTAGCTTCTTCTACCTTCCTCCTTTTATCTATCAGTGGGTTATCCTGCTTTACACCCATAGTACAAACCCAGGCCTGAGTTGTTTCATAACACAGTATGAATACACCATCCTAGACTAACACGTATCTATCTGATAAAGTGATATGATTAAGAGAGTCAGCTGGTCATTCACCTAATGCCCTATATATGCTCAAGCCCCCTTGATTTGAATCAATCTTCTTCAGACCATCTCAAGAGCACTTAGCAAAACAAAACACTGCTGTTGCCTTTACATGCATGAATGCACTGTACCAGTAGTCATGGCCTTTAAAGCCCGAGTCCATCATTTGCAGCTATCCAAAAAAGTAACTGGCGTAATTATTGTTGAAAAACATACTGGTTGAAAGATAGTAAGGGGACTAAACTCCCTGTGAAATTATTCTTTCTGGCAAGCCCTCATTTTGAAGAAATCAACGAAAGAAGGCATTTCCAACAATGCGTCTTAAGAAGCACCGTAGGAAAATTTAAATTAGTAATTCGTTTCGTTATTCAGCGCAGCGCGCACAAGCATTGGAACGACGCACAGGCGCGCGCAGTTGCTATAATTCGTCGGATCAGTGCGCGACATCGCGTAAAGCTGCAATTCAAAACAATTCGAAACATGATTTAGCAACTTTTGATTTGAAATTGAGATCCTAGAATGCTGTTTTTCTCGGAATATAAAGCTGAAGCTGAGCTGAAACTTCATCAGGTTAGTTGTTCAGCACCCTTCATTAGATTTTGAACACTTTTGTTGCTTCAAACGAACAAAATGCACTAATAACAAATGATGGACTATAGCTTTAAAGCAAGCCTACTGATGTTATACTTAAAACTAAATCCAACAAATTTACAATCAATTAAATGTTGTTTTTATAGCAAATTCAATTCTTATAATTAGCACTCATGTTACCTCAATTAATCCTAAACGTGACTGGTTTCAGTGCCAAATTTCAGTGCCATTTTGTTTGGGTTTTTTTTTTGGGGGGGGGGCCTGTCTGATCTTGAAAATGCTACGACTGATTTTTATGAAATTTCCCGCAATGAAAATTTAATACTGCACATCAATGCTTTGTCCAATTTTTACGAAATTTGTGTTAAAACATCTGAAAGACATCAGTCGATAATCTTAGAGGCTCGGCATAACAAGATTGAGACAAAATGTGCAGCCCTGGGAGGTTTCTCCCAACAGCTCTGTTAGTGCTAAATCCCAGCATAACTGCTTTCTCAGTAACTTAA